CAAAAAATCATCATAAATTAACGAAGTGTCAGAACAACACCAAAATCAGTTTACATAGGTTTCAGGAGGTGGACTAACCATTGCAATCATTTAAAACAGCTTCCAAACATTGTAAGACACTTTTACAGGAGCGAAAAGGGAGATCGTTGTGTGAAAATCCCCCATAGGAAACATCGCTGTGTGAGGCAGCAAATTTAACAGAAAAAGGCATCATTGTGTGAATTCATCGTTGTGTGAGGCACTCGTTGTGCGAGGCACCACTGTATCTGTTGAGTGCTGACCTGAGCCTGTGACCCAACAAAGCAGGCTGGTTGCTCCACTGAAAATTCAGGACTCCTGGTCATCTCGAGATGCTCCATGAGCAGAGACTGCTCTCTGATTTAGCTTACCACATATGGGAGCTAAGATGAAATAGGGAAGAGCTAGTCCTTTTCTGAACGCCTGAATAGCCTAGTACCAGCAGACATGACTTTAATCCATTAGGCTAAAAGTAAACATTTTGGAATAGTTTTCCAGTGGAGTTGTTATGGGCATGATAGACATCTCTCAGTCAACTGCAGAATATATTTCTGAGGATATTTTTATCCAGTTGCCACTTAAGCCTATTGGCATCATCATGTGATTGACTTGCTAGTCTGACAACTACCTGCTTCCTAAATCACATTATGCTTTCTGACACAAGAAATTGCTTTTAGCAGATCAAACTCCTTTCTGGTAGAAACTTTGCCTTCATACCACATGCGTTCATGCCATGTTAGGGAAGGACAAGAATGTCTTTGTTTCACCAATGTGAAATTGCTGTAATTTAGTACTGACTGAAAGAGATGTAATGTGCTTTAACTGCACTTAAAGTTATTACTTTTATCAAATCTTAATTTTGAAAACAACATAGCTATATTTATTCTTTATAAAATTGGGGAATATACAGGACATAGTAAGAGGGGGAAGAGCTAATGAAAGAAAATTGTATGCCAAAGCCCTTCTGCCATCTTATCTAATGTGAAGACTATATTTAAAACACTGTCATTATGTTGCAGATTAAAACCTTATCAAGGACTTGATATGTAATCCCCTTATGTTCCTTATGCAAATTCATGTCACGTAACTGATCCTGAACCTGCTGTGGGCTGAAACTTTGTGCTGAAATGTATCTTGCAAATGAGTTTTGAAGATAGCCTGAAGTGTGAAAGGGATATAAAATACCAATCTAAGTAGATGAGGGGAAAACTGAGTGAGAAGACTCCTGTCTGAACTGTGAAATAATGGGACTGTGCATTTTTTAAAGCAGGGCAACATTGACAACATAAAATGTACACTGTTGACAGCTTCTTGTGAGAACATACTGTAAAAAGATGCTAACTCACAGAGAGAATTTCATCAATCCTGCAAAATTATATTCACTGAGCTGTCCTTGTAGCCAGTTACTTGTTCAGCAGTAGGGAGATCAGTCAAAGGATTTTTGTATAGATGGATTTTCCCTATCCAAATTCTTCCTTTTTAAAAATATTTTTTTAAAAAATATTCTTTTTTAGATTTTTGTATAGATGGATTTTCCCTATCCTAGTTCTTCCTTTTTAAAAATATTTTTTTTAAAAAATATCCTAAAAGTTTTTTTAATGGAACTCTGGTATATCTAATAATGAGCTTGCAGCCTTCCATAATTTGTCAGTAGTTTTTCCTACTTGATAAATGGACAGCCAGCAGTTCATCTCTTTAATGCCATATGCAGGTGAAACAGTCCATTCCAGCAGGCTTAGCACTATAGGTTAATTTCCTATGGTTTTAAACTTTGACTGTTAAGCCTGCTTGTTTCACTGAACTACTTTATCCAGTTCCAAAACTGGAGAATAATCATTCTGTTTAAAAAAACATTATTTCAAAAAGAAAGAAAAACAGCGATGCTGCTACTCATCTTTGCTGCTACCTGATCCTCAGCGTGGACACTTTTAGCAGCCTATTCCCGTACTTGAGTGTACAAAAGCACCTGAAGAAAGGACGTAGTGCAGAGTTCCCAGTTACAACTCAGATTTTGAAGAGGGGAGCAACTATGTGAACTCGAAACTGCAAAGCATTCCTTGTCTCCAGCTTTTATCCTTGAAGAGAGCAAACAGTGAAGGAAATGCTATGTCCAAGAGCCAGCTGTCCTCCACAAACAAAAATAACAGAGCTCACTTGTGCTGAGGATACTCGGCAGCGCAGAGATGGAGGTTGTAGTTACCCAACAAATGGAGCACTGGTGTCTCTGTATCGCCTGCAGTGCTAAGAGAGTGTGACTAAAAATGGGGGTATTTGTATTCAAATACAAATACCCCCACACAGGTGGTGATAATAAGGGTCCAGCCCCCTGGGCCAGATCGTCCACTCACAATTCCGCTGCTGTTGCCAGCTCCGCGATCCTTCCTATCACTCTGAAGTTTGTGATCGACGAGCCACCCTTCAACCTGGTAGGGAGGCTTGTTGTCCCGCCTCCTGCCAGGAGTGGCGAGCTGATCGCGAGCTCCAGAATTCCCGCCTCCTGCCAGGAGTGGTGAGCTGGTCGCGAGCTCCAGAGTGATAGGAAAGATTGCGGAGCTGGCAGCAACTGTGGAATTGTGATTGGACAGTCTGGCCCAAGGAGGCTGGACCTTCGTTATCACCACCTGTGCGGGGAGCAGCGGAATTATATACGAGTACCCCCATCTCTAGTTTTGACTGTTCCCTTGAGCAACAAACAAGGGAGAGAATCTCAATGACACATGTACTTCCAGTGGACCTGATGTCTTCTCTTTTCACCCCCAAGAATCCCAGCTTGTACATGCCAGTGTTACTTTGCAGTAAATTTGTTCTAGGATCACATTGTTCTGGCTCGCCTTGGATTCTATCAGTGACCCAAATTCTGTTGCCAACTGTAGTTTTCAGTAAATACCTCTCCATTTGACAAACAGTCTTTCCTGCCATTCTCTGTGAGACATTGCAAAATATTTTAGTGACGATTATTGATGAGTAAACCTTGCTAAGAGCAATGGCATCTAATGCTTTATAAAGTGTGTTTAGGAGTAGAGTTTGAAACAGGTTTCTTTTTGAAGGCATCTGTGCTGCACCTTCTACTTGTTTAAATAACTCACTTGATAACTTTGAGCACATAATAATTCTGTAGGTTATATAATGTGAATGAAGGGTTTTGATAGATTGCCAAAGGATATACTCTGGATTAATTTAATTCTAGGAGTAAAACTGGGTGTTCTCAGATATAATATTAAACATAGCTGAAACATTTACTTCAGAGGCACACATATATCCATCCTAATTCTCCTTCTATATTTCAGGTAGAGGAAGGAAGTAAAAATGTGCGTTTAGGTTCATTGATTGCTTTGCTGGTAGAAGAAGGGCAAGACTGGAAGCAAGTTGAAATACCAAGTGACATTAGTGAAGCACCTTCCTTGTCTGTGCCAGCAGCAGCAAAAACAACTCCTACAGCTGTTGTATCATCTGTGCATAAAACAGAACTCCACCCTGGAAAACTACAGTGAGTTTCTGAACTCTGAAATCACCTCTGAATCAATCCTTTCAGTGTTCAATTATACTATACAGCTTTGTCTCTTAATTCATAGTGGAATTATTATTATTTTTTCTTTTGGTAACTCTCTGTTGGTAGAATGTTGGGCTATGGGAAGGTCATGATCCTTTTTCTCACACTTGAAATTCTTGGATGGTCTTGTGCTCATCTTTATCCTAAGTTCTCTCACATAATTGTTATGGGAATAGGTGGATCGTAAGGTACAATGAACGTTTTTGATACCGATTACACAAGTTTCAACGATCCTGATATAATACTCATTGTAACCCAATTGTTACTTTGCAATTAGTATTCTTTTGTAGCCAAAAAGAGTCTTGTAGCACTTTTAGGTCTAACAGGCTTATTTTAGTATGAGATTTCTTGGAGTACAGTCCATCTGAGGAGGTAGATAATAAGCCACAAAAATATGCGAAAGCAAATCTGTTACTCTTAAAAGTGCAATGAGACTTTTTGTTATGCTGAAATAGATTAAAACAACTTCCCCTTCAAAAGCTATTCCGTTTGGGCTCTGCTTCCTCTTCAGTCCATTTGAATTTATATATAGGCAGTACAGGACTTCATCTCAAAAAAAGAGACTGGTTGAAGAAAATGAATTTCAATGGCCCTTAATAAGGTAGTATCGAAAACAGCAATTATACTAGTAGGCTTGCTACTTAGCCACTTCGTACGACCTGGGATTAAAGGTGCAGGAATCTTTAACTGAAATTTCTTGGTTTTCTAGATGGTTAAAATTTCAGCAACTACAGTGACATTGGTGGCATGACATTATAAAAGTAATTGCTATGGTCATAGAACCTCTGGTTAGCTGTGCATGACACTGAGGACCTTCACACAGGGCATATGCTTTGAACCATGGAAGCAGGAGGCATTGAAATAAAAGGCCAGTTATATCCAGTGAAATGGCTATAATTGGCTTTTTATGAAATGATGAAATGATGTGCATGAAGGAGCACCAAAAGAGGTCACATCAAGCAAGCCCTTGGAAAAAAAAGGATGTACTACTTTTTGACATTCCTTGCAGATACAAATAGCCCCTTTTCTTGCCTCTGGGAGTTGATTTAACGGTGGTCCAAGCATTGCATCAAATTGTCTTATAGGTAACATATGGAGTGATGCTGTCAAAAGGCACTGGGGATTTTGAAAAATAGACAGACCAGGAAATAGACTGGATAGGTTAAATGTGACAATTAAAAATATCTGTGAGGTGAATTTCTTACATTGAAACTGATATTCTATATTGGATATATTTTCCATACTGAAAGTGCCTTGTCCACCAAATAACTGTTGGATTTGACTCTCAGTGGCTCTCTTAGGAGGGACCATTTCTTAGTATTATTCTTTCATTGTTAAATGCATTTTAAATTCTGAGCACTATTGTTATGTATGATTTGTTCAGAAGTAATGGGTGCATAAATTCTTTGTTGAATTTGTCCCCCTTTTGTATACAATACTTCAGTACAGGGCTTGTTTTGTCTTTAGGTTTCGCTTAAGTCCTGCTGCTCGAAACATTCTGGAGTCACATGGACTTGATGCAAGCCATTGCACACCCTCAGGTCCTCGAGGAATTTTCACTAAAGAGTATGTAATCCCTTTAACTCTTTCTTTGTCATATTTCATGAAATCAATATCTCATAACCTTTTATGGGAAAGATCAGTTCTAGATAGTGTTTATAACTGATTTGAAGTACAGGGGAACAAATGTGGCAAGCTGTCTTGAAAAGATTTGGATAATACTGAATATCTGGGGATGTTTGGATTGCACTACATTCTCTGTTATTTTTAATGGAGAATAATCTTGTTTACATAGGTTTGCACTTAGAGAAGTTTTAACATGTCTTATTTCAGGATGGTGATGGATATGTTTTTGCAGCTGCTGCGAGATATACAGTAGGTATATTCAGAACACAGAAGAAACTGAGAATGGACACCCCCACCTTCCTGTCAGTGCCATTTTTTTAAAATTGCAGCTGAGTGAAGGCTGGGGAGTGTGTAGTTCTTGAGAATCTAGAGGAATAGAGGGAGACTTTGTACCATCTCACCTCTGTTCATCTACTGCTGCTTTTGTATGGGATGAGGTTTTTATGCTTTCAAGGAAGAAGTACTAGTTACTGTACTCTTCTAGTAAGAGAGTTTGTCGGTGGAATGTTCTGTTACGATCTCGGAAAGTGTAGTACCTGGCTTTTTATGATTTGTAGCATTATACCAAGAAACTGGTCTACCTTCACTGGCAGTCTACAATTTTTGATTGTGCTTGCTAATTCAAATAATAAAAAAATTGGTCATCAGCCCCTAGGTCCTTTCTTCTCTACGAAATGCTTGGAATTCTTCCCACATTGGCTATTGGTGAGCATGCTGGCCAGGTCTGGTGGCAAGTATGTCTGGAGCATCTTCAAGCAGTAGCATCTACTTTTTGTAGAGAAGATGATCTGGGCTGGAGCAGAAGTGTTGAAGCAAGGATTCATCATATGAATCCTTGCGTTCTTATAGACTAGGATTCTTGGGGGTAAAAAGAGAAGACATCGGGTCCACTGGTAGTATATGTGTCATTAAGTACAGTGGTGCCTCGCTTAACGAGCGCACAGTTTAACGATGAATCCGCATAGCGATGCGTTTTTTGCGATTGAAAAACCGATCGCATTGCAATGTTCTGAATAGGGTAAACATCACATTGCAATGATCGGTAAGCATTTTGCTTACCGATCTTTGCATTGCGATGTTTTGGAACAGCTGATTGGTGGTTCCAAAATGGCCACTGGAAGAAGAAAATGGCCACCCGCAGCATTTTTGCGCCGATTCCTCGCTTACCGAGGCAGCGAAAATGGCGGTCGACTTGAGGATTCCCGCTTAGCGGTGAGTTTTGGCCCCATAGGAATGCATTAAATGGAGTTTAATGCGTTCCTATGGGGTTTCCCCCCCGCATAGTGACGTTTCCAGATAGCGATGTTTTTCCTGGAATGGATTAACGTTGCTATGCCGGGACACCACTGTACTCATTTTACCAACCTTGGAAGAATGGAATGCTGAGTCAGCTTTGAGCTGGGTAACTGAACCTGTGAGGATCGAACTTAGGTTGTGAATCAACCTAATGCAACTACTGCAGTTTAACTACTATGTCAAATATATCTTTTCCCGTTCCTTAAAAATGTGCCTGTCTCTTGACTTACAAATGTTATTATATTTGTTAAACTGCCAAAGTATGACTTTGATAAATAGCTTGATAAATTTATGTATACACAATGAAGAACTCTGTTCCCATTTTGCTCATCTTATATCCTGATTTATAGAGCGAGAGAACTGTGTAGGTGTTGTATCTTTTGTAACAGCAATTAATTATCACGAAACTTTGTAATTATGTAAGTGTAACTGTAATTTCTAATATATATCTAGTTCATAGCAGGTGGGAATCCTTCAGGTCACAAAAAATACCTAATTAAATTTTCCTAGTAACCATGGAGATGTATCACAGGAGGTGAGTTTGTAGCCTGAGAAATGCCAGCCTCTCTCTCTCTCCCTCTCTCTTTTACACATATATGCCTCCATTACTTTTATTACTTGTTTTGACAGAATAAATGGCCTTGAAGCAGTTTGAAGCTGTTCATTAACGTGAAAAAGAAACCGGTTGCTTAATTTTCACTATAAATTCTAATAGTGAGCCACATAAATGAGTACATATATAATTAATACAGCATATATAATTAATAATAATCACATGCCATTAAGTTTATTCTGACTTATGGCAACCCTTTCCAGGGTTTTTTAGGCATACGGTACTGTATTGGGAAGTGGTTTACCATTTTTTTCCCTTTGAGGCAGTCTAGGACTGTGCAGCTTGCCCAAGGTGACAAAGCTTGTGCCAGAAGATATAGTTGTGAATCGAACTCCCAATGTCTGGCTCTGCAGTCACGTACTTAACTCATTGAGCTGTCCATGCAGCTACAGAATATGTACTGCATACATATTTCTGACTTATTTCAACCAAACTAGTTTGAATTGTCTTGAGTGTTAAGAAAATACATTCACAGCATGTTTTACTAAAATGTTATTGATTAAAATCCATAAAATTAGAATTTTATGTTTGCACAACTGAAGTGACATAACATTTGGAGGTTTAATGTCTTGAATTAAGCAGTAGCCACTGACTTCATTACTGCCTCTAGCCAACGTAGCAAGAAACAATAATTTTCATTTAAATGAAGAAAGAAGCCATTATTATGCCTGCAGAGGGCAGTTTCAGAAAAGTAAATGGGATTATGTTCCAGTACTGGCATTAATGAGCACCTTCTTGTACAGTACTTTGTTTTCGGCAACTAGTTCTGAAAACAACTACTGTAGTCCGCAGCAATGTCTGTGCTGCAACTCAAGTCCTTTCATATTATTGGTTGTTGCTGCTATGAAGAGGCTTAATTAGCCCGATGCCCTCACAAGTTCAGTAGGTAGTCAAGCTACATTTACACAAGATAATAAATAATAATACATTTATGAAATCACTATTGGGAAATTTCTGAATAGTGCAAGGTCATTTTACTGTATAAGCGTGAACGGAGGGGAGAAGGCTTATACTAACACTTTAGCACCTGAATAGGAACTTACTATAGACTGGAACATCTGTAAAGCCTAACCTTTGTCTGGCATGCAAGTGGAAAGTACATACTGTACAGTTTGGCTAAGGTTGCTTACTTATGAAGCCTTTAGAAGTATTTCAGGACCCGGGGGGGGGAGTGTCTCTCATTTTTTGATATATGGGCAAGATAGTTGGCCTACATCATTAGTGGGGAAACTGGGAATGGGAAGAGGGTAACTGTTAGAACGGAAGTAGAAAGTACTATCAAAATGAAACTATCCATAGGACTTTGATGCTTTTATTAATTTGCAAATCATGGTGGTTAAGGTTAAGGTTGGTTACTGTGGTTAAGATTCCATTCCTGGCTTCTTGTTTGGTGATCCAGCCATTCCTACCATAATCAGTTTAGGGCAGACCTGGGCAAGGTGCGGCCCGAGCCACTCCTGTCTGGCCCACGGACAGTTTTGAACATCAAAAGCATTTATAGCTTTTTGTCTAAAGTTGATCAGTTGCTTATCTTTAACATACCACAAAAAACCTCTTTAGTATTTGTGAAGATTAACAAGTTTAAAATAAAAACAATCATAACGTCACTCTTTCATTTTATTTTTAAGTAAAGTTGGTTCGGCCCCCGAACACAGTTCAGATTTTTCATGTGGCCCCGCTACAGAAATTAATTGCCCACCCCTGGTTTAGAGTATCTAGTCTGTTTTGCTAGATAATTTCCAATCTGGCTATTCTCATAACTGCAGGTGACAGTAGTAAACATTTGTCATTGAAACTGAACCAGTGAATGCACCTGTGCCTCTTCTGTTGTGCCTGACAGTGTGCCTGAATAAAGTGTGTTAAAGTAAAAAAAAATCTGTAAATTTTATTCTCTCCAAAAATGAAGCTTCCATACCACATGATATCATATTTATGTACAGTATTCATATTGCACTGAGATCACCGGCAAAATTCCTGTTTATTTGAATGGTCCCATCTTCCTCCATAAGCATTAACTAAAGCGCTAAATGAGACAAATAAATTTGTTCATAACTAGCAGCCATACATTACCCATGCAAGTCACAGGGGAAGTAATTAAATTTTATGGTGGACTGTGGCATCCAAATGAAGATGTATATATGCTGTATATGTACATTTGTGCATCTTCATGCTGACAAATGATCTCTCCTGTTTAACCCTGTTATTATTTATTACTGCTGTTACATTTTTAATAGTGCTTTGAATGCATTATTCTAAAGTTTAAGAATCTGCTAATGGTATGAAAGAGCTGATAGCGGTATTTTATAATCAAAAACTAGGCAAAAGCCTGCTTAAGTCATAACTTCCAAATCCATATGAAAAATTTAAAACTATTAGGAATGGGTTTGCATTATAAAATTTCTAATAGCTTTTTTAATCTGTCCATTTTTTCTGCTTATGATAATTGTGGCTTTTTTAAATTAAGAAATCAATGGCTATAAGAAGTTATATCATTCATTAAAAGAGCCATTTCCCTTCATAATATGGACACTATGATAATTGCTTAAGGTTCTTTTTGTTACTTACCTAGAAAAGCATAACTGTAATTTAGAACATGGTCATGTTTCTTTTATTAAAGCCAGTTTGTATGCTAGCTTTACTTGACAGTAATATCTGAATGTAGTGCACTGCGAATTATCAAAATGGTTACCAACTGCAGTAAACAAAACTCAATTCCTGTTTATCTAATATGATATTCAGATCATTCATGCCAGGTATTCTGGGAGTTGTAAAGAAAGAAAAACAAAAAACCCATAATATTTTGCCCCAAGCTCTGATATTCTGATATTCTGATATTCTGATGTGGCATATTCTGTAGGGACATCATTTAGTTACCATTAGTGATCAGTGATCACTATTAATACGTCTATTCAAGTAGAATGTTCTATGTTTTGAAAATACTATAAAAAACAGTAGCCATCCCCACTGCCCATAGCAAGCCAATTTCTTCTATTTCTACATTTTCAATCTTAGTAGGAGAAAAAAAAGTGAGAACTAACAGCAAAAAATAAAACAAAACAAAAAAACAAACACACACACATCAAAGTATGCTGCTTATATGCCACTCCATAGCACTTAAAGCACTCTCTGGGGGGTTTACAATCTAATTATACAGGCTACACATTGCCCCCTCCCCAGCAATCTGTACTCAGTTTACCAACCTTGGAAGGCTGAGTGAACCTTTTGTTATCTGAGATTGAACACGGGTTTTGGCTGCAGTACTGCAGTTTAACGACTGCTCCATGAGAAATAATCGGTTTATTCAGCAGTACAGACATAAATTACAAAAGCATTCAAGAGCCAGCCTTGGAAAGAGATGTGCTTATTTTTTGTCTTTACTAAAGGACATTCCTTTCTTCCTACTTAAAGTCCAGCTGGAGACATGTCAGTACCAACCACAGTACTAAGCCCTGTTTAAATGGGAAACCAGTTTAGTATGAACCCTATTCAAGATAAATGCTGATACAGTATTCCTTTAGCTGGAATGTGCCCCAAAGGGAGTGTGAGGAGGGACCTTCATGTTGAATCCTAAGGCTATCTAGTTCTTCGTAGTGGCCTCTGTGAATGCACACAAATGGGTTTATCCTGCACCTGCACAGGACGTTCGGAAGATTCTAGAGCTTGGGAATAAAAGAGTCAGTTAGTTCCCCCCCGGCAGGGTTTGAGCTCCGCCTCCTCAACCTTTCAGTTTCCTCTTTTCCACCATTTGAGTAGGACGTTAGGAAACTAGAGTGCTAAGGAAAGTCATTTTAGCCTTGCTAAATCTACCTTTTAACATTTTTTCTATATTATGTATTTTTTTATTCTACTTGTTTTCCGATGATAGAACCTCCAGCTTATCCCTTTTTATTATCCCGTACTTTCATTTCCTCCCCTTCCCTCAACGGTTTCCCCGCTTTTCTTTCCCTTTTTGTTTTATGGGCTTCAAGAAGTGCTCCGTTTGTCTTCGACAAATTCCACTTACAGACGGGCACGATCTTTGTCTATTTCGTTTGGGGGAAACCCATCTCACCAATATACGAGTAGGTGTGGATTAAAGGGTTGTGCGGCCTATAGAATCTGTATGGTAACGTCTATTTCAAGGTGTTGGGTATCTGCTAGAAAGCAGAGAATTAGTTCTACTAATAACAAAGAGTAGCAGTAGTTCATGTGCCTCACCTGAATCTTCATCACCTTCCTGTGGTTCATACCTAAGTGCCAAGAAGCATTTCCGGTGTGTGTTCAGAAGCATTTTCTACCGATCTGGTATAAAACGGTGCAGTGGATAGAATATTTTGGGAGCTGATAAAGCTGGGGTTTGAGTAAATTGTCTCAAGGAGATGAGGGGGCTTCAGCTTTGTACACACTATGTGGAATCAATAAGCCATTCAATTAATTTTGGAATATATTTTTGCTCTTTTTTTAATCTAATGAGAGTCCAACCTAGAATTAGGGGGGGAAAGAGTTGACGGGAAGGGAGAAAATAATCTCTCCTGTTGTTGCTTCTGTGATGGAGAGAGATTAATTCTGCTCAGCCTTTTTTCATGCCTGAAACATTTGTGAGATGAATGCTTTGCCTGACACCAGCCTTCTTCTGTTCCTCACTAATGTTTCCCTGAATGACAGAGGGAATCTAAAACAGGAATTCAGAAGTAATTTCTTGAGCCAGTATGGTGTAGTGAATAGTGTGACTGAGACCTGGGTTCAAATCCCTGCACAGCCATGAAATCTCATGGGGGAGTGGAAGTGCTTAAACAAAGCCTTCCATTTCTCACATACCTTAAAAACCCTGTTAGGCTCATCTTAAGTCAGATGTGACTTGGCTGTGCATAATACTAGTAGTTTCTACGTTATAAGTTTTAAACTCATATTAAAACTGCTTGTGGTTTTCCCCCTACCCCAGCTTTCTTAACAAGTTCTTATTTTATATAAGTTTTAGTTTCACCAGCTAAAAGAACCAAAACTTCTTCCAATTGTTACATGTTTTGAAGGTGTTGCAGTGTGATGGAGATGAAGTTTGCTTGTGGTGTATTTGCAATATTATATGGAATTTTATTTTGGGAAAAAACAAATCAGAAGACAACCATACTAGTGGAACTACATGAAGCAGTAGCTCCATCTGATATGATCTTGGTTCAATTCAACAAGTTCCTCCCTAAGTGGAAATGGCTCTACGAGTTTACTATATGGAATTTGAATTTAAATTACTTACTTACTTATTACATTTCTACTTTGCCTTTCAAATACTAAGTAATGTTTAAGGCAACTTGCAATCAGTGCAAAACATAATAAATGAAACAGGTAGAAACAAATTCAATTGTAGACTTACTAAAATGTTAATAATAAAAAACAAAATATAGCCTTAAAGAGCTTTCAGTTCAGTTACATATGCAAACAATTAAAATCATCAGACTAGATTAAACAATAGCAGAAGTCAATTTAACAGAACAAGTCCCTTCATACCCTTTCCAAAGTCAAATAGACTTTGAACCTGGCCCATCAGGGAAGCTCAGCTTCTTCTAAAACAGGTTAAATCCCAATTCCAAGTCATCATTAAATGATAAAGTGCAGTTGAGTTGAGTGGCATCAGCATACTTATGAAACCTCAGTCAAAAGTCACAAATGACTTCATCCAGAGTGTCATGTTAATAATGTAGGGCATAAGGTAGAGCGCTGATACAAAGCAGTATCCTCAGACCCAACCCAACTAGGCAATCCACTAGGGTCCCATAGTTAATAGTATTAAAAAAAACCCACCAAGAAGTTCTGAAGGACTAATGCTGTCTTTCTCTAGTCCCCTCACATAGGTCATCTACCAGGATGACCAAATAGTTTCAAACCCGTATCTGAGCAAGCAGTCCACTTAAAATGAGTCCGAGTAATCAGGGTCATCCAGGAATTACCACCCCACCAGTTTTTCAGCTACCTTGGTCAGAGTGGTAAATTTAAAACTAGCCTATAATTGGTCATAACCTCTGGAGCAAGGGCAGGATTCTTTAACAGGGGTTTGATACCTGCTTCTTTTGAAAAGGAAGGGAAAACCTCTTGCCATAAGAAAGCATTTATCACCCTCTTTAACCATGGTATGAGTCCCACCTTAGCAGATTTCATTAGGCAAGATGGGAAAGGATTGAATAAGCTGGTGGTAGCCCTTGCAATCACCCTGCCCATCTTTGGAATCTATGTAAAAAATACCCCAGCTAGTAAGACAAGTGGTTGCCAAAGTTACATCAAGTTGGTGTGCTCCAATTTTGGAATCCAGGTCTTTATGGACTTTATTTGCAAAACATATAACAAACTGCTCACAGTGAGCAACTGACTGCTTAGTCCGATATTTTCAGTTCCCTGGTGAAGAAGGCCTTTAAAGTTCACAAAAGGATCACTTGTTTGCTGCACCAGAAATATGGATGTTCCTATTTGCTCTTGCCTCTGCACTTGTATCTTTTCAGATGGATAATAGGTCACTTCTGGTCTGGTTTGTCTCTAATCATCCTCCACTCATGCTGCAGCTGCTGCCTCCCCTGTTTCATTGCCCCCAGTTCCCTGTTTTATCAGGAAGCTGACTTGTTGGCTGATGGGGGTGACTATAGTAATTGAAGACTTCCCCTCCCATCCCCCTTTCTCCATGGGTTCCTGACACTGAAAGGGATTTCTTGAGTCTCATCGAAGCCTTAGGATGGAAGGGGAAAGTGCGTTAATTTCCCACAAAAGAAAATTGCCCCAGCTGATGATGCCCATCAGCATTATTCTGCAGAAGTCACATAAACAGAATTTCAGCCAACAATAATTTAACTGATATTAATACCAGTTAAGTTAATACAAGTAAAAATTTATAGTTCTGTTTGGGTTTGAGCTTTTGGGAGGAAGGGTGTTTGTAGATTTATTTATTTCATTTTATCAAAATAGAAATACTGTATGTCTTAAATTCATTTGTATTTTCCTTTCAAAAAACAGGGATGCCCTCATGCTTTTGGAGCAGAAGCAGAAGGGGAAGCCTATAGACACAAAGCCAGTAGCTTCTGCAGTTCTTCCACAACAAGCTGAAGTGCCTTCAACCCCACCAAGTGTGCCTGTTCCTCTTTCACAACCTCTGGTTCCATCTGTTTCCATGTCAGGGCGGCCAGCTTCCATGGTAATTATGATGTCATTATTTATTTTATTTGGATTAACATGCATAAAAACCATTTGGCTATTCCAGTTTTAAAAAACTGTACCCTTGCATTTCATGTTAGACAAACATTGCCCCAAAATACTATGTACAATGATACTGGATGCCCCTAAGAAGTCTACAAAAACTGATAAAGACATACTGCCTGTTATGTCTGTCTGGCAGGACATATCCAAAAATATCAGATATTTGGATTGTACACTGTCATCAGAGAACTGCTGGATAGCTCAGTGGTTTAGGCATCTGGCTGCAAAGCCAGAAGTTGGGAGTTTGATTCCCTACTGTGCCTCCTTGACAGGGCCTGGACTTGATGATCCATGAGGTCCCTTCCAGTTCTGCAGTTCCAAGTTGTTGTTGTTGTTGTAGTTGTTTGTGTCCTTCAGTCTTTATTGGAGTAACTCACTGCCTCTGTATTCAAATTCTGATCATTGATTACCTGTCTCTAAATGCATATCAACATTCATGTATGGATGTTCATGTGATCTTCTGTATTTAGGATGGCATGATTTTTTGTTGAGTCGCTGCTTGAGCCCATATGCAGCTCTGTCACATAGTTAATACATATACATATGTGAACTAATTTTAGTGTCTGTTTCTTACTGGAAGCTTGCATAAACAGTTCTGTTGGCAACTACACAGAGGCCAGGAAGATATATTCCATGTCCTAGACTTTTATGGCTGTAGTTGATGAACTCCCATTGTCAAACAGACAGGAAAATTCAATATTCAGATTTTGTCATCATGGGGTTGTTGTAACAAAAGTGCACATTATAGCTATTCTGAAAGGTTGTCCCTCATAAGGGACCACACACATTTTATGGGGAAATGTCTATTTAAATTATGCTGCTGCTTCTAACGAGCAAACAATACAGAAGGGAGGGAGGAAGGACAGATGGACAAAACAGACAGGCATGTATCCCATATGCAAAATCCAAAACCAAGATTTATTATTTTATTGGTTTGTTTATATCCTGCCCTTCTAATGAAGGAGGAGAGATGTTTCAAGCATGAATAGAACAGAACAGATACAGTAGAAGTACAATCACTGATGCTGGGTTTTGAGTCCTCAGGAGTCTTCCTTAGCCTGGAGATTGAGGTTTTTGAAAAAAAAATTACTTTTTTTTTTTGAAGGAAAATATTAAGCTGAACATTAAGGCCACTTTAATAACTATCTGCCTCTATTTCTGGCAGTGCTGGCTGTGACTTCTAAGAACTGAAGAGCTGACATCCAGAACATCTTTTGGCCAAAGGATCTACCACCACCACCATAAAACTCAAGTAGTTTAGGGCAGGTATATCAGAAAGGCAACTTGCTCAAAGTTTGCAATCTTCAGAAGCCCTCTTGTGTATTCTACTACCAAGAAAGACTAGGTAGCCTTTGATAAGCTGAAAGATGATGAATGTTTTCACTACACACGCCTAATAATGGGTAGAACTGCTCCACCTCCCGATAAATTGTGCAGAAGTAGCATAATACATGAACTGTGAGTGAGCTCTGTTGTACGCATGAAAGCAAGTGAGCTGACCCAGATGTGAAATAGGAGGAAGAAGATAATTTAGGACCTCAGTTGGATTCAGTAGAACTCAGATAAGAAACAGGAAGATAATTTGTTACTTCCCAGTTGAAAGTAACTGGGCCTATATAACTGTATGTTATATAGGTCTGGATGAAGACAGAAAAATATCACCAGGTTCCTTTTCCATAACAGTGGATCTGTTAATCCTATCTGAAAAGGTAGAAAAAGAGCCATTGTTTTGCATGGTTAAGCATTATGAAATTAAAAAAGGAAATCTATGTGAAGTCCCATAAACTAAAAACACTATGTCGATATAAAGATTTTTTTTCCTTACGTGGTTTAGCATACACAGGATCAGTACAATTTTTACCACTAATTTTTTTTTTAATTTTAAAGGCTGTCCTTTCTTATAACAAACTTATTTCAGTACGTTTCAATGTTTATATCTTCTTTTACTTTAGTACTTAGAATGTGATTTTTTTTTTAAATTACAGGGCACATTCACTGAAGTCCCTGCCAGCAACATTAGAAGAGTTATTGCTAAGAGATTAACAGAATCTAAAACTACTGTACCTCATGCATATGCAACGACTGATTGTGACCTTGGTGCTATTTTGAAGCTAAGACAAGAGCTGGCAAAAGGTGAAACAATTGCTGTTTTTAAAACTGTTATACTTCATGTAATATACAGCATTAACTGGTCTGGCCTCTTCAGACCTGCTGTCTCCACATCTATGGTGTGTATTCTGTTGTTGCTGGGTCATATTGTCCATTTTATTATAAAGCTGGCTTGCTGCTGATGGTGGTCAAATAATCTATCTTTTCCCCAAGCTACAAAGCATGAGTGTTCAATAATTTAATTTCCCTCCATAGTTCCACTTAACCCTCCTTGGTTTCCTGTTTCTGTTTCAATTATGATAGTTTATAAAGACTGAGACCACCGAACCAATACACACAGTTCAGTTTCTTAAACACAGAGAATAAAATTGGGTTCCTTACTTTTACTTTAAAGTGCTGTTTAAAAAGGACTGCACACTTGAAAATTGGTGCTTATGTTTAAATTCGCCTTTGTGGATTCATATTACAGCTATATTACAAATGAGTATACTTTGTAAAATATTTATTATTTATTTATTTATTTATTTGATTTGTATCCCACCCATCTGGCAAACTCTACCACTCTGGGCGGCTTCCAATATAAAATATATACGTTAAGTCAACATAACATAATCCATAACAGATACAATGCGAGAAATATAAAATAAAAAAAATAGCAGAAAAGAAAGGAAATCAAGTGCTGATAGGAGGGAAGGCCAGGATGTACATCCATGTTTCAGTTGACTTTTAAAGGTACCCAGCGTAGGGCCCCCGCAAATCTCCGGTGGGAGGTTATTCCAGAGGCGAGGAGCCACCGCCGAGAAGGCCCGGTTTCGTGTCTTTTCCCTCCGGGCCTCCCTCGGCGTCAGGCTCCTCAACCTCACCTCCTGGCTCGTGCGGGTGATCCGGGTAGATATTGATGGGAGCAGGCGTTCCGTCAGGTATCAAAGTCCTAAACCGTTTAGGGCCTTATAGGTAAGCATTAACACTTTGAAGTCAATGCGGAAATGGATGGGCAGCCAGTGCAGCATGGCCAGAGTAGGAGAAATATGTTGGTATTTTCTCACTCCAGTAAGGAGTCAGGCCACTGCATTCTGCACCATCTGAAGTTTCCGCATCAGCCTCAAAGGCAGGCCCACGTAGAGCGCGTTACAGTGGTCAAATTTTGAGATTACGAGCGCATGTACCAAGGTAGTGAGCGCCCCCGTGTTAAGGTAGGGCCACAGCCGGGCTATCCACCAGAGGAATATATGAAAAGCTTGGTGTATTGGGCAGTATCTTGCATAGTATTTTGGAATCTGGTTTTGTAGCTTCTCCTCCCCAACCCTGCCAAGTTTCCTAATCCACATTTACAGGAGTTTAACCCTGGACTTGATGCAGTTCAGAGCATAATGTGCTCTAATGGTGAAAAGTGTTGGACGGGGCTTGGGAAATCCAAGCTGGATATCTACTTTAGTTGTGACTTACTACCATTTGGTGACCTGAAAGCAATCACTTTGTCTCAGCTTGACCAATCTCACTAGGTTGCTTTTGTGAGGATAAAAATGCAGAGAAGGTATACCATTTGAGGGGGAGAGAGCCACCTGGAGCTTATGAGAGGAAATGAAAGTACATATTGACAGGCATTCTCAAATTATGGATAAAATTGTGGCTCCTTGGGAAGAGGGTGGAATAGCAGTGACAAGTTTTTGCTTGGCCAGTCAACATTTGTCAGCCATTATCCTGAGAAGTGCCAGGGAAATAAGCCACAAGGATAGTCAAACTGAATGGTTTCATTTGCTAGAAGTTATTCTGTGATGTTACTCTCGTTCTCCTTTGCCATGTACTTGAATGAAGGCGCCTGCCTGAGATACAGAGCTGCAATAGCAAGGTTAAGATTACAGTGGACAATTCAGATATTATCAAGTGACATAAATCTAACCTGTTCTGAAGTATTTATGTTACCCGATCATTTTAGAAGTTAAAAGCTAGCTATGGTAGTAATAAACTATGTCAGGAGTATTTAATACAGTGGTGCCTCACTTAATGATTGCCTCGTTAAACGACAAAACCGCTGAGGTTTTTGCGATCACTTTTGCGATCGCAAAACTATGTTCCTATGGGGAAAGTTTGCTTAACGATGATCGGTCCCCTGCTTTGGGAACCGATTTTTTTCTAAATGATGATTCTGAAACAGCTGATCATAAGTTCAAAAATGGCCACCTGCTGTGCAAAATGGCTCCCCACTGTGTTTTCAGGATGGATTCCCTGCTTTACAGGCACCGAAAATGGCCACCCCTATGGAGGATCTTCGCTGGACGGTGAGTTTTCAGCCCATTGAAACGCATTGAACTGGTTTCAGTGCATTTCAATGGGCTTTTTCGTTTCACTTGACGAGGATTTCGCTTAACAGCGATTTCAATAGAACGAATTATCCTTGTCAAGCGAGGCACCACTGTATGTGATGAACAATAACATGCCTTTAAGATGGTTATGAATAGCCCAATGATGTACAGCAATGGAGATCTGCTCTTCTACCAATGCTCATGCCTTCCCCCCATTTTCTTTTAAATATTCTGATTACTACAGACTAAAAAAGCCTAACAGCTGACTTTTGCTTCAGTAGGAGGAATGAAGATGAACATATTGCCATAACAATATGCATGTTCATCAGGAAAATCTCAAAGTTGCTGTATACCTTCAGGCCCAATTCTTAATTAGGGGAATGTTGTTTTGTCCTGCCTAAGTATTTTAGACTTTTCAACCATGTAGCAAAGCTCCTACCTGCCCTCCTATTATTGTTAACCCAATTTCAAGATCTGCTGATGCCTTCTTCTCAGTAATCTAAACAGCGTAACCCCTCCAGGGAGCATCATATAATGCCATGTTTCACATTTACAGTTGAACAGATGTAGAAGATAATCCTTTTGATTATTCCAGTTCATGGAAAATAGAACATCAAAAGCAACTATGAAATTTGTATTTAAAGTGACTCTTTTGGGGAAGTTATTTTTAGACCTACAGTAGATTTTTGTAGGTTAGTAAACCAGTTTGTTTTATATATATATATAAATTGCCAGTTATTCACTTATCACTTAATGTGTCATTAAATAAAGGATAATATTCTGTGCTTAGCAAATGTGTACAGAATATTATTTCATTAATATCAATACAGTGGTGTTTCATTCTTCCATCCTGTTGCACAACTGAATTTGTGCATCAAATATGCTTCAGTAGGTAGATACCCTATATGAACTGATTTTGCATTTTTTATTAAATCTCATTCTTAATCTAGATTGATTGATTTAATCGATGAGATTTTAATAAAAGTGTTAATGAGTTCCATTGAGTCAATGAGTCTATTCTACCTGAGACCAATAGTTGTATTTTATTGGAAATTCATCGCATTCAATACAGTTATATGTTGCAGATGAATGCATGTTAATAATCGTAAAATCCAGGTCTACTGATTTTACTGAAGTATCTCTAAAGTTTTTGACCCAGTGCTTTAAAAGCATGTTCATTTTTAATATAATTGCTATAAATGACCCTAGAGCCTAATGTAATGACATTATTTACCCTGAACAACTGACATTCTTTCCCATATTTCACTCCAGTACTACTATACTCTTTTCTGCTTATTTATCCTGAATATCAAGTTGTATGTAAGCAAAGATCTAATTTCATCGACTCAGCTGGAAAACTTGTTTACTTGGCTGTATAATTCTAATTGCCATCTTTTACAGTTTATTTTTAAAAATCAGTACATGGAGTAGGAACTCCTGCACATACACCAAACTGGGTGAAATATGTTTTCCCATGCCACAGGGGAAATATTTGAACGTCATAAAAACATGGAGCAAGACCACACATCTGGAACTTTCCCATCTAGAATGCTGGTTGGGTGGGAAAGGCTTGCTAGTTTGTCCCTGGCCATGTACTTGCAGTTGCACTATTCATGCAGACTTGTAAGTGATGTTGGTGTGTGAGTGTGAGAAAGAGGATCTTATGTTTAATTTCTTTTTACTGTGAAGTAATCTAAATCCTGTGTAGTCCCTACTACATCCACTGAATCAGTGAAAACTTACATAAGCATTAGTTGACTTGGTCTGTTTTAGTTAGGAGATCTAATTGAATTTCAGATCCATGCCACTACTCAATTTGTTTAGTTGGTATTGTGAACAAACAGAGAGTCAAGTTTTAAGAAACCAATCTGGTTCTCTGTTGCTTCACTCAGAACAGCTAGAATCAACAATTGTGTTGTTTTATAAAGATACCGCTTACTGTAAAGATAAATGGAGAGAAAGCACATCAAAATGATGAAGAAGAAATTCCTAGTGTACTACAGCAAAAATATCTTGGTCCTCATTAGATCCAGCCACATCATCACAAAGCTCCACACATTTTGCTAACAACTGGACTTCGTGGAGGTCTTTAATTCATAGGATTGCTACAAGTTGGATATGAGTGGACAAACAGAAGAAAAATAGAACATTTATTCCCAGCAATGAATTACAGACAGCCATTGTTATATAATGAATCGAATGTTGTACTAGGAGGCATGGATTGAAATTCCTGTTTGGTCATGGAAACTCTCTGGAGATAATGGTAATAGTAAGCCACTCTTGAACATCTCACATCATTAGAATCCCTATTAGGATCACCAAAGTGAGGAGTAAGTTGATGACTCATAGCACCAACAATACAATGGAAAGGCTTCTCTTTTTCCCTCAATATTTGGAGCACAGTAGTGGTGGTTTGTGGTATTCCATCTACTTGGAACTTCATAATTCTCTTATACAGTTCAGTATTTGTATTTCTGAACAAGACTGATTTGTATTAGACAATGGAAGTGTTCTACTTTATATGCCTTAATCACATTTCAATTCAAGATTACATTCTCCTGTAGTGACGGCACAAATATGTTCTGGATTTCAGATTTGTGGTACTATAAAATGTAATTTTACTGTGAAGATAATTAACTGTACAGTGGTACCTCACTAGACGACAATCTTGTAAAATGACAAATCCGCATGACGATGAGGTTTTGCGATCGCTATAGCGATTCTCAAAACAGTTATTCCAATGGGGGATTTTCGCTGGATGATGATTTGGTCCGTGCTTCGCAGACCCTTTGTTTGCAAGACGACGATTTCTACAACTGATTGACGGCTCCGCAAAATGGCTTCCCTGTGTTTTCGGGACCCGTGCTTTGCAGGACAGCTATTTTAACAGATGATCGGTGCTCACAAAATGGCTTCCCTATGGGCGATCTTCGCCGGACAACAACTATTTTCCCCATTGAAACGCATTAAACGGGTTTCAGTGCATTCCAATGGGGAAACACTTTTCACATGACGATGATTTCGCTAACCAGCGATTTCTATGGAACGGATTATCATCGTCATGTGGGGCACCACTGTACTCTCAAAGTTTGTGACAGTATAATTTTCCTCTTCTGTCCTCTGATGCCATTGAGTATCTTGAATGCTAGTACAGTAACAGACTTTCCTTCTTTCCCTCCCCCAACTTAATACTGTTATCTTGCAGCTATGCAGCTTAATTTATTTTTCTCTCCCCCTACAGATGATATTAAAGTTTCAGTAAATGACTTCATTATCAAAGCAACAGCAGTTGCCCTCAAGGTAAGTAACCAGTTGTTGGCAATTTATTATATACCATATTTTTAAACATTTGGTGATCCTCATACTAAACCACAGCTTCTGGGACTGGACATCCTAGAATCAAAAAACTTTCTTCCCTGTTAATATGCTTATCTGATTTCTGGTTGTGTTAATTCTAGTCAAAATGCTGAGCCAACAAAATGCTTTTGAGTAGCAGGAACAGGAATAAGTTGTTTGATTCATGTGAAAAACAATGGTGGAAAAGATACTGTTTAGTTTTGGTAGCTTGAGCCACTAAAATACAATTTTCTCAGACATGTTCAGGAAAGAAAACGAAGTACATCACTATTTCAAAAAGATACATTGGCCGAAATCCATTTACCTGGTTAGACTGGTATATCACAAACAGGGTAGTGCTCAGGTTTAAGGTCTGACAAATCAGTTCATCTTTGAATCCAATTTCTGAAGACTGTCCACAGCTGTCAGTTCTCTACCCAAGGATAAGTTGAATATTGTGGAACCCAGATAATTTTCCGTACCTTTTAAAAAAAGTCTTCTGGATAGTTAATTGTACTTATTAAACAGTATAATGAGTTGTCCTAAGCTTCTTTATGCATTTTAAGTTCCTTTTATTGAGATAGCTTAAAAGTAAATAACATCCAAGAAAGATAGATTTCAAGCATATTAATTCCGAGGAAGTAATATTCCAAAATTATAAAATTCTAGCCATGTTGTATATAATAAAAAGAATATAACTGTTTATTAAGAAGAGCCATGAACATATAATTAACTGACTAGTAAAACACACCTGTAGGAAACTGTATTTTGTCTTACTCTAGCTGGAATATATTGCTACCCAGTATCTAAAGTATTTGAAATTCTTTCATTCTCCTTCTGTTTTTAATCTAAACATAACTTGAGGAACTCATTCTTATATTATTTGCTTCAGTCAACAATCGAGGTTTTACTTATTTGCAATCTTCCTTTTGGCAAACGTCTGTGTTATTAAAAGTTTCTTGTAAACATCATTCTAAAACATAAACATTTAGCATTATCCAATCACAGTGGCTATAGCTATTCAGTAAAACATTGTCTATTTGTTCTGTCACTGCCCTTAAACATTCTGTTTACATTTTCTGCCAGTGTCCCCAAAAGGGAACAAAGCTTTAATCTAAATAACCTAAAACTGAACATCACAAAACTTGCTCAAAGGCCTAAATTAGAAAACATACACAGTATTATGTTTGCAAGGGTCTGCCTTGCAAAAAAAAAGATATTTATGATCTTTTGCTGCCTACTAGTGGAATAACAAATCATTGCATTGTATTTTATTTCTTTTCACACCCTGCCCGTGTAATTTGTTGCATGCTGAGTTATGTGTGCAGCTGATGTCTGCAGTTTTAACTTAGGGCAATTTGTATCCAAAAGTTATGACATTCGCATAGCTGTGCAAAAGGATTTTGGCCATTAAATCCTTACTGCTTTCAAATACCAAACACCAATTTTTATACTGTAATACTTTCATGTACCTGGAGCTATAATAGTATGGGATGTTGTACCATGGGCTGTCAGTGGAACACATGAAATTGGGTAGATGTTGTTGCATGAATGGAACCTGTAACTGGGTTTTACCTCAGTCTGGTTTTGATGAATTCCCACCACATTTGCCTGCAGTGTTCCCATGAGTCTCAGAAGCAGCTCTTAGAGGGCTACAGTGGGGAGGCAGGAAAGTCTCTTTTTGCGAGCTTCCTTCCACTCACTTTTTTGGGCATCCAGCCCATTGTATGCTTGTGTAGCAGCTTTTACATAAATAGTTTAATCCACAAAGTTAGAGTGGTTTTTTTTGGGGGGGGGACCCACGTTAAGAACCACTGGTTTAATCCACAAATTTAGAGTGGGTTTTTTTGGGGGGGGTATTCAAATCTAATTTTATCTCCTAAAGAGCATCCTTAAAGTAGAATAAAGAAAGGTAGAAAAAAATTGTGTAGTGATTGGTACTGGAACAATGGGGTAAACTATAGGAAAGGAATTACAAAACAATAAATACTTCCTGGTAGTACATGATTTCTGGCAGTGGCTACATCATTCAAAGATAGTGAAGCTGAAGACTTCCTATGTTGAGCAGGTTGGACTAGGTGATATGAGTTGCTCTGTAACAATGTCTGATCTGTTTTATCCAGGAAGAGTCACAGCTAGTAGAAAAGCATTCCTGGCCACATTCTGCTTCGACATGCAGGCATAAAGCTTGTTCTGGGAGAATTCACAAGTTGCAGATTCGATCTGTTCAAGAGAAGTACAATCACATCCAACGCAGAACAGATTCTCAGCTGTGATTCAGATTTCTCATTGATCCATACATTTATATCTTGTCTTATATCTTGCAGGGAAAGGCATCCATACCATCATTGCACCCAGTTTTGAAAGAACAGATGCTATTTTTTAAAAAAAAATCTGGTTGAGTATTGACACATGTTTGCACATATATCAACCTCAGACAGATTTCTGTGTAGATCTTTTATTGTATTTTCAGGGAATATTCAGTTACTCAGTGAATATTATATTTCTGATTATGTGGATGGGATACCCAATGTAGTGTAGTGGACAGAGTGATAAACTATATTTGACTCAAGAGGCTTGGGTTTGAATCCTCTCTTAACCATGGAAGCTCATTACTGTTGAGGAACTAGTGAAGGAAGTCCTTGAATATCACACTTACTTTGAGTTGCTATAAATTGGTTCCAGTCTGACAGCACATAACAACAATAATCATGTGCATCTCTTGATCCATAGAAGAAGAAGAAGAGAGAGAAAAATCTTCCCCATGTTCTCTTAATTTCTGTAAAGAATATCTAGGACTTCCATTTCATTTCATTTCACTGATTTTATCTAAACAGAGATGCAGTTATTTTATGTAGTCTTAATGCAGGAAATAGTGCAAACAAAGGAGCCATTTCATTTGACTGATATAGAGAGAAATTGAATATGAACTGTATTGAAAAAAACCTAAACTTTTTATTTATTTATCAGTAATACTGTTCATGTGACCGGGTTTTTTAAAAACAGAGCCAGGGCAGGCTATCATGCAGAATAAAAAGTGACTTTAGAATACTGATAATGTTGATAGAGCAGTAATTCTTGTGATGGCATTGTCTACCTCAGCCTCTTTACCTCACAGTGTTTTGTGGTGGAAGAAAGGTAACAAAAAGGAAATTACTTGTGCTAAATTTATGCTAGCTTTCAGGCCATCTTTTTATTTTAAGAAGGAAGAAAAGTTATATTTCTTGTCTCTGCTCTTAATTCAGGTGTTACAGTATTAGATGTTGAATATTTAAAATTTTATTTTAACTGGATTATTTTTAAAACATCTTAAATAATTGGATACTTTTTCTTGGAAGCTGCTTGGGAAAGACCACAGCCCTCAACATGGTGAATAAATTTATTACATAAATAACATAAAACTCTTTTTAAGGTGCTGAGCATATAGTTTCATTGTACCTGCAATTGTCCTTTTAAATTTGAAATGCCTGTAAACAGCAGTACACAGTGTGTATGTAGATTGTATAGTAAAGCATATGAAATAATACTATGTGTGCCCTACCTCTATTTCTACTTCCTGCTATAGAACAGACCAATATAATATGTGTATCTACAGGTCTATGAACTCAGATGAAGCTATTGGAACTTTCTTTAAGTGTCTGTAGAAATGGCATTGCTCAAGTATTTGTGTGTGGCTTTGCCGCATTTTAAAGAAAACCCACTACTTAGGTAATTATTACTTTCCTTCTTCGGAAATAATGGAAAATATCTTGAAGCAGTATTTTGAATACCCAGTTTTTAAAATTCCAATCTTAGGTTGTTTAGTTTCAAAACATTCCATTTTCTCTTTGGTATCAACCAGCATCTACAGAAGCAAAACAATTTATTTTGCTTCTATTTGTGCTGGATATTTATTATCAAATTGATCTGAGAGCAATATGGTGGTAATGGCACATTATATTTTCTGTGTGTATTTTTTTCTGATCACCTTCTTAGGATGGGTGATATGTGATAAGACTGTTATGCTGAATTTTGATGTGTTTTTAAGATGGTAAGCCATAGGACATCAGTCTGTAAACTCCGTCCACTGAATGCAACTGTTCATTAATCTTATGATGCACACATTCACAGAATAGAGGCATCATCTCTCCTTCACAGTTCAATTGATTTCTTCATACTCCCAGTTTCTGGGGTGGTTTTTTGTTTTTGTTTTTTTGTCTGACTGCTTTGGGCCTCAATTGAGGCAATAACATATCTAATGGAGTTTTTGATTTTGAACATCTTCCCTCATGCCACATGGCAAGATGCTCTAATTTGTTCTATTTATATTCTGCTTTTCTACAAATTGACACTCAAGGCAGCTTACTGTCTAATTCCAATGTGTATAGCTTCAACACAAATTCTAGGATACACAGCATTAACAAGGAATACTGATGGCATAAAAGCAAACAAATATAAAGATATCAGGTCAGAGTTCAGGAAAAAAAAAGACTGACATTAATTAAAAATGTGGCAGAATAAAAAGGTCACTGATTCTCTGACTATAAAAGCCTGGGGTGTAAGTCTGATATTGATGGAGAACTCCACTGAAATGTGATCAGACCAGGCTTCAAGACTTTGAAAGTCAGAACCCAGAATTTCAGCTGTGCAAACTGATTGGTAACAATCAACTACCATGAGGCATTAGCTAGGCCATGCAATTTTGTATGATATCTGCAGCCTCTTAAACTCTCTAAGCAGGATACCTCAGAGAATGCATTATATTAATTACAGTGACACATGTGGAAGGGTTGCTTGATGATAGCCAAGTTATGTTCTCCTGGTACCGAGTACAGCTGATGGGATTCTTGCCTTCCTTCCTTCACATTTTTAGGAAGATAGTATAAATTCTCCTGAGTTGCTAACTGGAGTTGTCAGAGAACTGCAGTGCTGTCCAGAACAAAGGCTTGTCCCTAGTTTATTCCAAACTTCTGCTGTCAGTGCCCTTACTAAGAGTCTCTCTTAAATCTGGTGGCTGGCTCACCACCTGTCAAGCTTGTGACAGCCTTTGTATGCTTTGAATCAAATGTTCATTTATTGGTTTGTGGAAATGCAGATTGTTGCTAAATTTCCAGCTTCAACTTTGTACATTGGAGAAGGCCAATTTCTCCATTTGTTCATAGTAGGCACTTCAAGCTTTTCCTGCAGAGTGAGGAACTTTTCCAAGCAGCATTCAGTGTGGTGGGAGGAGCTGCACATGGAAGAGAAAACTAGCAGTCCTCTGATGCATCTGAATATGTCAGAACCACTTGCTCTATATATGTGTGGGATCAGTATTAGGAAAATATTACAATTTGAATTCAGTGCTGAGTGCTGTGTCACAATTAACTGTCTTAGCTTTACTGATGAAAGACATGAATAGTGAAGCAGTAAAATTGGCTTCCCCCCCATGCATATATTTCTAATTGAAATAGATTTTTTCCCCTCAGCCATTTGGATTTTGGGACTAAAACAAGCGCAGTGTGTCAACAAGTTGGTATTTAAATAATAGAATAGAATAGTAAAGTTGGAAGGGGCATATAAGGCCATCAAGTCCAACTTCATGCTCAATGAAGGAATACAAATTAAACAATATCTGCCAGATGGTTGTCTAGGTCTCTCTTGAATGCCTCCAATGTTGGACCACTCACCACCTCTTGAGGTAATTGGTTCCTCATAGGGCTTGGTTTCCAACCCCCTGATCATCATTGTTGCCCTCCTCTGAACTTGTTCCAATTTGTCAGCATCCTTCTTGAAGTGTGGTGTCCAGAATTCAACACAATATCAAGGTGGGGTCTAACCAGTGCTGAGTAGATGGGAACTAGCATCTCACAGGATTTGGAAACTATCTGTCTGTTAGATAAAGGTTCCCCTTGGCATTTAGTCCAGTTGTGTCCAACTCTAGGGCGTAGTGCTAATCCCCATTTTCAAACCATAGAGCCATCATTTGTCCGAAGATAATTTCTGTGGTCACGTGGCCAGCACAACTAGACCCGGAACGCCATTACCTTCCCACTGAGGTGGTACCTATTTATCTACTCGCATTTTTACATTTTACATGCTTTTGAACTGCTAGGTTGGCAGGAGCTGGGACAAGTGACGGGAGCTCTGTCGCGTGGATTCAATCTTACAACTGCTGGTTATCTGACCTTGCAGCACAGAGGCTTCTGCGGTTTAACCCACAGCGCCACCACGTCCCACTGATCCGTCTGTTAATACAGCCTAAAATAGCATTTGCCTTTTTGGTAGCCACATCACACTGTTGGTTCATTTTCATCTTGTGATCTATGATAATTCCAAGATCCTTCTCACTCATTTTGCTGAGCCAGGTATCCCCCATCTTGTAAGAGTGTGTTTCTTTTTCAGAGATGCACATTCTGTTGTTTTCTGCCCAGTGCTCTAGCCTATCAAGATCATTTTGAATTTTGTTTTTGTATTCCAGCATATTAGCTATTCCACCCAAATTTGTATCATCCACAGATCTGACAAGAATTTCCTGCTTGCCTTCTATGATTCAGCAACAGTAGTGATATTACTGAAAGAACCCTCATGCTCTAATTTCAAAATGTTAGATTCTGGACTTCAACAAGTTTACATTTTTTTTTACATCTAGCTTTAGGATAGATGCTGTTAACATGGATGTGATAGTGTGAGGGTTTGCTCCTTCCTTTTTTATATTTGTATCACACACACACATTAAGTGAGAACTGGGACAAAATAAGCATGTCCTTATGATTGCAGGTAAAATGTCACATCCTTTGTTTTATGTACAGTGGTGCCTCGCTTAATGGGCACCCCGTTTAATGACGAAATCGCATAGCGATAAAGATTTTGCAATCGCAAAAGCGATCACATTGCGATGTTTTAAATGGGCAAAAATTGCTTTGCAATGATCGGTACCCTGTTTCGCTTACCGATTATCGCAAAGCGATGATTTTTTAACAGCTGATCGGCGGTTCCAAAATGGCCGCCGGGTAAAAAAATGGCCGCCCACTGTTTTCTGGGACGGATTCCTCGCTTACCGGGCAGCAAAAATGGCCACCGTATGGAGGATTTTCATTTAATGGTGAGTCTGAAGCCCATAGGAACGCATTGAAGGGGTTTCAATGCATTTCTGTGGGCTTTTTTAAATCGCATAGTGACGAAATCGCTTTGCAGCGATTTTTGCTGCACTGATTATCGTCGCTATGCGAGGCACCACTGTATCTGCAAGGTGAAAGTTGGCATCTAACAGGAATAGATGTGCTAATAATTCAGTAGCAGCCCAGAAACCAAGTGCATCCATCAATCCTTCGGGCTGCCTGCAGCTGTAAAATTTCTGCAGCCGTGGTGCACATTCCCTTTTTGTGATAAAGTAGGTATACATGGATTCTAGCTAATAAGATAGGTCTATTTTTAGTCTTGTGTGGCAAATCTTTTGTTATTATTAACTTTGTCCTGCTTAAGGCAAACATTTCCCCATATGTGAATGCCTCTGTTGCTACAATTCCAAAGGGGTTTCCTTTGACTCAGTAATTGGTTGCACCATTATTCTTTTAGCAGCTGTGTCTCCTTCTGTTTCTTTCTTCCAGCAAATGCCAGATGTGAATGTGACCTGGGATGGTGAGGGCCCCCGGCAGCTGCAATCTATAGACATCTCTATTGCTGTGGCAACAGACCGAGGTCTCATTACACCAATCATAAAAAATGCCGCAGCCAAGGGAGTTCAGGAAATTGCTGCTTTGGCAAAGGTACGGCTCCACATGTGATATTTCAGAGCGTACAGTAGTGCTTGGATGTACACCCAAATGTGTGAAGCCCCTCGGAAAAAACACAATTGCTTTTAGAAGTGCTTTCAAAGTGATTTAACGCTGCGTCTCTGTTGGACATGAAACATCAGCGGGGAGGTCAATTTCACAGGAATTCCTGATGGTTGCTCTTCACATGGAAAGCATTCACTGATTTTAAGTAATATTAAAGTCAACAGATGCATTTTGTTTCACTCTTATGCGTAATAAAATCCCTAAGAGAATGTTAATATATTGTACCATTGTAAAAATTCAATTGGTTTCCTGTTAAAGGAGGCCAAAAATATATACTGGATACAGGAGTCTAGGGACCAGCTAGTAAGCTCACTGGAATAGGAAGGTTCTTAATTTCTTATTCACTGTGCTGTGTGAGGTTCACTAAAACTAAAAGGAAAATAGGGACTTTTTTGAGAAAAAATAAAAACATCAATAAATAATAACAAACATAGAAAGCCAACAGAAATGAAGTCCATATACTTCTGGCTTTCAACATACAAAAAACCAAATACATGTGTTATTTTGGTCCCTGATAAGTGACAGAAGAAACCTTGTACACTGGATATCTTCTATTAAGCACCAGAGTGACTTTTGGATTGAAAAATTCTGAATTAGAAATGAATAGGTATGGATGTGTTTTGTTTTGTTATGCATTCTAATTTCATTTTATTGTTTATGTTAAATAATCTTTAAATACTTATAAAGTTTTCTATTAATGACATGAATGGGGAACGTGCATACCTAAGACCCTGGATATACTCTATAATTACATCAGTACTATTGTTTTGTCCTTAAATTGTTTTCTAGTTAAATTTAACATCTGTTTGTTTGTTTGTTTGTTTGTTTATTTATTTGTTTATTTGATTTTTATCCCGCCCATCTATACCAAGGGTCTACTCTTGTTTGAGTAACTGAAGGGAATGTAAACTGTTTTGTTGATATGTGTCATACTCATGAAGAATCTTGTTAGTTCATAATTACCAGTTATAAAAAGTTACTGAAACATGATCTGAACTAAACCAGCATCATAGATTGGCTACTTCTGTATGTGTATAAAAACTAATGACCTAGCTTATTTTTAACTCTAATGTACAGCAGGAGGTTGGCATTATAGTACACTGCATTAATTTCTGAGTATGTACTAGGACAGTGTTTTTTTCTTCATTAGGATAATGGATGGATTGCAGAAATCTGATACTTCCATGTACAACAATAATCTTTGCTTTCAATATTTTTAGCAAACTTCCAATCCCATCTTAATACCCTGGAACATCGTTTACCATCAGAGAAATTTCTAAAATAAAAGATGCATTACCCATATTGTGGGCATATTTGTCAAATTAATATTTTTGTTTATAACAGAGGCATCATCCCTCCCAGTAGTGCCATGACCTAAATGTGTTGACTGGTTTAGATAAGAAAATACGAAGGGGTAGTCAATATTACTGTCCCCATGTGAGAACAAATGGTATCAGGCCTGCCAAAGTGGAACATGATACTATGAAGTATAGAGATCAGCATGAATTTAGTTTATCATGTGAGCAATCTTTGTCAGAGATGAAATGAATATTCATGAGTTTTGATGTTGTTCTACTTCATCACTTCTTATTTTGACAATATTTCATTACAAAGCAGTAGGCTATAAAAGAATTGTGTCATGTCTGGGAACCACAACTTTCCAGTATGGAAGTTCACAGAGGGCTCCTTAAGGGCCATGTACAACAACTTTGTATCCTCAGCTGAATATACAGTATTTCAGAAGTGAGTACGCCCCCTCAAATTTCAGAATTATTTTAGTACAGTGGTGCCCCGCTTGACAACGATAATCCGTTCCAGGAAAATCGCTGTTAAGCAAAATCATCGTCAAGTGGGAGAAAAACCCATTGGAATGCATTGAAAACCAGTTAATGTGTTCCAATGGAGAACGTCATCGTTCAGCGAATATCGCCCATATCGCCCATAGAGAACGCTGTTTAAAATCGCTGTCTTCCAAAGCAGGGGTCCAGAAAACAGCCCTTTTGCGAAGGGAAGCCAGCCATTTTGCAAATGGAAGCCATTTTGCAAACAAATGGTTCGCAAATCAGGGACCTAATCAACGTAATGCGAAAAAAACCCATAGGAACCATCGTTTTGCGATTGCAATAGTGACTGCAAAAAACTCAACGTTAAGCGATTTCTACGTCAAGTGGGGTCATCGTCAAGCGGGGCACCACTGTATATCTTTTCACTGAAGAAATGACACTTGGCTACAATGTAAAGCAGTGAGTATACAGCTTGTATAACAGTTCAAAATCCTACAAAGTAGGCTTCAGCAGTATGGGGACTGAGAACAAGCTGGATTTCGAGGAGGCAGAGGAACTAGAGACCTAATTGCTAACATGTGGTAGATTATGGAGAAAGCCAGAGAGTTCCAGAAAAACATCTACTTCTGCCTCATTGACTA